GTGTGGCAGGAAGCCACAGCGGCAGCGGCAGTTGTGCGTAGACGTAGGAGAAGTGGTAGTGGTGGTAGTAGTAGTAGTAGTAGTAGTAGTGGTAGTAGTGGTAGTGGTAGTGGTAGTGGTAGTAGTGGTAGTCGTCGTCGTCGTCGTCGTAGTAGTAGTAGTAGTAGTACTGCTACTACTGCTGCTGCTACTGCTGCTCAACAACTACTACAACTACTAGTGCTGCTACCACTACCACCACCACTACCACTACGACAACGACGGCGACGACGACTGCTACCACCAACGACGACGACCATTACTACTACCGCCACTGCCGCTACCACTACCGCTACCACTATCGCAACCACAAGCACAAACACACACCGATACCACCGCCAGCCGCCAGCACCAGCAGCAACAGCAGCACCACCACAACCACAGCCACCATTAACACTACCTCGACGACGAGGAGGAGGAGGACGACGACGACGACCACAAATACTACGACTGCTACGACGATGCCGAAGACGACGACCACTACTGCTTCTAGAGCCTACCATGGCCGTTACGACGAATGTGGCCGCTATTGCTCATGCACATCCTGACAAGAACGGTAGCGCAAATATTGGAGGAGAGCGACAATAGTACCACTGCCGAATATGTAGGTGATAAACTCGGATTCATGTCCATTCCGTCAGGGTGGCTCCCTGTTCTTGTGCTGTGTGAGTTGCCTGGGTGTCCATGCTTTCACTTTCACGACATCAAGGAGCTCAGCAAGGTCACACAGGTGCATACCTGAATGCCAGGATCCGAGCTGGAATTGGCCTGAGTTTAGGCAGCCGCTTTCCTTTCAATCATGTAGGTCTTGATGCTGCAAGGCCGAGGATTACATGGGTGCTCCTCATCCAGCAAACGAGGCGCAGGGATTTTAAACGGGCTGTCCTCTGGCCTGCGAGTCCCATGGCCTGGGCAAGTAGGACTTCGAGGATGCCGGTGTTGCCTCCGAGTCTCGCAGGTCGAAAGAATGGCAAAATTGAGGTCTCTGAACGTCATAGACACAGTGAATGAAGTCCGGCGCTTGGTGGTTTTCTGTCTGAGAAGCCTGAGCTCTAGCACAGAGAACTCTTTGGCAATACTCCCTCTGTTCTGTCCAGGACACTGAGTACGACAACATCACTCGGGCGGTAGCTTCGATTCTGCAGGCGCCTTCATGTGCTGTCAGCTGCCCCGGCTGCTTTCGCAGGTCTCATGGCTTCCTGCTTCATTGCTTCCAATATGCCTCGCCTACACGACAGCCGCAACGACCTCCCCCTGTCTGCTGCTGACTGTATGCAGGGCTTGAGTTCAAAGCGAATCCGTCATTCAATGGGGATCTACCACTACGGGGAGCCCTGCCTCTTGCAGACTTGTCCCTGCCGTATCGTGCCGTGCAGGTGCCCATCTGCTTAGTCTCGCTGGTTGCCGAAGACAAGCAATGGTTCTCAGCCTCAGAATCCCTTCAGCTGCACAAAACACTGCTGGTGTTTTCCATGTGATATGGCATCTTCAGGTTCAAGTCCAAGTGTGGGTTGGGTGCAGACGAGACAGCGAGGCCTGCCGAGCACCAGAGTGCAATCGAAACATCTGCTGAGCTGATACCGTGCATGAGTCACCATGGATGGGTCAGCTGGGAAGCCAGTCCTTGGTATGGGAAGGACCCAGAAGAAGCGTAGGTCACGGGGCATCTTGCGGCACTCAATGCCTTCCCAGTCATTTCAACCTGCCGATTTAGTAGATCGCTTGATTTCCGACCGTGCTGTCGCATGCTGTTGCTGTCCCTATCGCCATGTACAGAAAGACTCTTGCCTCGAGAGTGTCAGGTCCAGCAGCTTTTGCGCCTACATCTTATTCCCGGAAGCAGTGGAGGCGCCTTAAACAAGGGTGACACGCAGCTCAGATCACAAGGGAAGTGCAGACTTTTTGCCGCACTTCACTTCGAAGCATGCTGTCAGTGGGCCTGCAGCTGAAGGGTTCGTTTATTAGCAGTACTATTATTGTACTATCATTATATCAGTCAGTAGATAGTACTAGTATTTGTGGTATTATTTGTACCTTTATTAGTACTATCTGATCTTGGAATTAGTTACTCTTATAATCTCAAAGCCCTGATCAGGATGCCAGGATGCTAGTCGTGACCGACGCCAGACATGATATTCGCTTCATGAAGACACCTGGATGCAGTTGCGACCACAGCGCATGCACCAAGTTTCACGTCCTAGGTCTGTGTCTTCTAACCCTGCAGCAGATCTGATCTTACGAATGCATCCTTGCAAGCGCTGGAAAGCCCGAAGCCCAGCCATTCTCACGCCTTCAAGACCCTGAACCCGCGAAAACCCCAAAAGCTGGCGCAGGGTGATCCTAGAAGTGTTGGGAGCCCGGCAGCACACTAAACATGCAGAAGCCATAAGACAAGTCCAAGTCCTACAGGGCTAATTAAGCCTGGACGGAGATATGTCAATAACCGGAAAAGAGTAGCCACAACAAGCCACAAACCGCAGACGCGATGCGGTGCTACCTGTTGGTCAGAGTCATTGGAGGGACGATTCAAAAGACAGGAGCGGGATAAAAGACTTGTCTGCGGGCTTTCTCGAAATTGCTCCGTAGCTGCAATGACTAATCTCGCACAGGTCATTCTTGCTATCGAATATTGGCATGTGCACGAATAAATGACCAACTACCATTTGGAGAGACTCTACCGGTGTTGACTGGGGGGGGGGGGGGTGCATGCTTGCAGTCCGAGTGGTGTGTTTTTTGGGATCGCACGATGGGCCGAGGAATCCGCTGGCCTGCAACTTAGCACCGCCAGAAGTCACCAGGGGTTTGATGCTTGTTTTCTCAGCTGGCAGCAGGTGCAAGCTCTGCTCGCAGCCCAGGTCCTTGGCGAGCCATACATCCAGTTTTATGCAGGCGCCAACTCCACGAAAACGAGACTGGAACATGGCTTGCACACTGTTGCTTTAATGGCCTTTGCGCAAGCCGCAAGTTGGGGCAACCTCGACAGGCTGCCCCTTGGTGACATCCGAAGGATTGCGCCCTCAACCCGGTGGCTATTTTGCCTTGGCAGTCTCAGAAGACTCATGCCGACCAGGTCTTGGGTCCTTGTGCGCCATCGACAGAATTCCGAGAGCCGGCAACTCAAGTTCGCTTGCACGACGCACTCTCAAGCTGCCGACAGTACAAGTAGGAGCAGCGACAGTCAAATCTCATCCTGTCGTTCACTAAACTCCGTGAAACATACCTGACTTTCGGTGCTTGATTGAAGTGCCGAGTTGAACTATTGTGAGTTGCCACCATGTTATCATGTGCTGGTTTAGCCAAGGCAGATTTAGCACACAGATGTCATGTGGCGAAACGAGCTTTCTTCCGATAGGCGGCTTGAGCTCAAGAGCGAAACCTGTGTTTCTCAGTCGTAACTGCAGTTCCTGCCTTCTTTTTCAGACGCCTAGACATATTGCCACCATCCCGACTTGCCGCGTCCCTGCGCCTGCCCAAGCTTGTCCGGCCAGGACATTCGACCAGGGGAGGCTGGACACTGCTGGTGCACCCCTGACATGGCTCTTTGATGAACTTGTCCCGCGCGTCCGTCAGGTGGGCCTTCTCGTCAACTTCGCACATTTGGTAGTGCAGGCCGCTCATGCAACGACCCTGCGCACAGCTGGGATGAGCAAACTGACTGCATGTGCGTTCGAGTGCTGCCGACGAGACATGATGTGCACTGTGCACCGGTACGTTTTTGACCTCACCCGCGTTAGGCGTTAGAGGACAATCATCTGGAGAAGCTCCATCAAGAGCTTCGGGGTGAGGACTTGGACGAGGCGATCAGCCCGCCGGTGAGAAATCGTGCTCCATTTTTGCAATCCTGCATCCAGGAGCCTAAGGAGGAGGAAGTGCAGTGGAATGGAGGAGTCGTTCTCAGCTTGTCTGGTTTACCTTCGCGCTTCCTTCTTGGAATGGAAGCATGGGCGTTGACATGCTTCTCGCGCTGATAGACGCAAATCTAGAGGTCACTGTGAAGATATCCTTCCCAACAACCTGCCAAGGCCACCTTCACGTACCCCTAGGGCAGTAGGACAGATTCTGGATGTTTTTGGTTTTCTTCCCCGTTCGTATCAATAATAATGGGTACATAGGAAATGTACCTGGAATAGTATGTATAAATATCTATACAAATGTATGAAAATGACAGAATAAATGAAACCGAATATTAATATTAATATTAATATATATATATACATACATAGTCAATCACAAACATATATATATATACACATAACATATGTAAAAACAAACTAAGATTTTGTATATACGCACGTAATACAGTTTCGATAATGTATGCAACACATTTATTTTCAAAGGTGTATGGATACATGCTTACACACACACACACGCATATATATATATGTCTTCACACACACAGACGGGCAAAGGTTGTATTAACATATAGCACAATATAATACAATACAGTACGATATATGATAATGCAAGCCAGTATAATCTCCTAACCTAACAAATACGAAGAGCATGTCAAACAAACTAAGGAAATACAACCGAAGGTATGTGTATACATATGTAGTATCACATAATAAGCGTAGTAACCATGTCAATAGTGACGTATGTTTATATGCACATCGCAATACGTACATACAGACATATAAATATACACGAAAGCCATCGTGTAAGTATTAGTAGAAGTTCCAGTGATTGGCAAACCAAGAAGCGAACACATAATTGGATAAATGGTTGTGTTAAAGAATTTTTGTCAATGTTTTACGGTACATACATACATATATGTGTATATATATATGCAGTAATGTGTGCACACACACATTTTTGACACAAAGTTAGCACAATGTAAAGTAATGTATTATAATGTAGGGTAGTGTAATGCAACAGAATGAAGCATATTGCACAACACTGTATATGCCAATGTATCATCTTGCATTTTGCTCCACGTATCTTGTTTTGATATATTTCGTTAAGCTCTAGTATGTCTTATTCCATGTTTCAACGCATTGTAGAATAGCAGAACATGGTATGGTGTAGTATATCGTAGCAGAATACAACATCATATAGTGCACCATAAGTTCATAGAATGTAACATAACATGTTTTAACCGATCATGTAGTCTCATGCATTGTCCAGGACCAGAACAGAATAGAATAAACTAGATCATACCATGATAGAATTTTCTGACTCCGACGGAGCATAATGGAATAGAATAGAATTTAATGTAGCGCACTATACTACCATGTAGTATCATGTTAGTGTGTGATCAGGCAAGCTCCGAACCGAGGCAATGCTTGACGCCGCGCTCCGAGTTTAGGCTTGAAAGTTCAAGCGGTGCAGAGACGTTCTTCAGCCGTTCTCAGTCTGTGAAGCTCACTCTCCAACTCCTAGCTCGTTTCTTTGCTGCCCGTTTTCCTAATTTTTCCCGAGTCATGAATTTTTCGGATGGCTGCAATGGGGTTCATCTGCAATCTCATGCCGAGCAGCTGCTCTGCGGAGAAAGGGCCGAAGAAGGCAGATGCAGGAGCTAGCAGCTAGCAGGGAACAACGACTGCGACGGCCGGCACGAGCAAAGTTCGAACGAACACTACCCAGGAAATCCTATATGAAGTGGTTTACTCTCTCTGTCTCTCTCTCTCTCTCTCTCTCTCTTTGAGGTTCCAGCTGGAAAGGGTTTGGTACAACTATTGCATCTGCACGGCCCGCATTTGCATTTACTGACTGTCCCGACCCGAAACGAGACGAACTGGAAGCAAGACGTTCCGGCCGTCGCTTGATAAGCGATCCCAGCAGAATGCCTCGTGGGCCTAGTGGCTGTCTTATACAGGTGTTTGCGAGTGCAATGTATTCAGTGGCTCATTGGTATATGGACAGAAATGTGTTCTGCATGCTTCCTCAGGCTCGTCAAAGTGCGGTCGTGCTGGTTTGGGCGCGGCCGGATTCGATGGAATGGACCATGTTCTTTGCGAACAAGGCCCTGTTCGGTTGCCTGCCTCCAATTTAGACCTTGAATCGTGGACAGGTGTTCGCGGGGCTGACAGGTGTCGAGGCTGCGCTTGCAGACACTTCGTGCTTCGTGGGGAGCTGCTCCTTCGGCATGTTGCAGGTGATCGCACCTTACAAGTTCCCCGGGGAACCACAAGTGAAGGCACCGCAGACGGCGGAGATTGCGCAAATTCGGGATGTTGGGACGTTGCAGCAAGAGCCTTTTGCATTTCATCACTCCGCAACGCAGGTACATGGAAAGATGAGTGCGCAGGCATCTTTTTGGGACCACATCCGACTCGTCTCTCGCGAGCCTACACAGGTCGCGACCTCGAGTGGAAATGAACCTTGTCACATAGACGCCCCCAAACTTTCTGCCACCTGTAACAATCCTTCATAAGTGGCAGTGGGCGACGGTTTTGATCAATCGAAGCCCGACAGTCATTTTCAGTCATGGTTCCCTTAAGCCTTAACCATGTCAGAGTAGCTTTGTAAGGTAATGGAGCTCTGGAAAACGGTGGCTGTCGCGATGACAGGCGTGACTTGTAGAGTTGCGGCTCCTAGCATTGTGTGCTGATGCCAGGCAGGCAGCTGGATACCAAGCCAGGAGGGTTTGCTGCACGTGCGACTGTGCAAGGCTCAGCTCACATTGGTCGTCAGAACCAGTCGGACTTAGTGCTTCTGCCGAGGTCAAGCAGTCCTCACGGCAGCAAGCAGGCGCGCAAACCCCTACTGTCGGAAGCCCGTGCAGATGCTTGCAAGAGTCTTTGTGGTGCAGCCTCTCCGGGCAGGCAAGACCTTCCTGAATTGCCGCTTCACCCCAGCAGAGGTGCCGATCAGCGTCTTGCGCTCAGTAATGGCGGAATGTGCTCTTGTGCCGGATGCTCTGCCTGTGTTTGTGAATGTTACTTGACACTATGCTTCTCAGGAAACCTCAGCCGCGGTCAAGAACCCTGGGTCCGATTCTCATTGTTGGATGATCTTTACAAGGATTGATGAGTCTATAGGCTTTTGTCAATGAACTCTAGGTTCACCAGTAGTGCCCTTTTGCGCTTTCTTTTCTTGTGTTCCAATAGTAGGAAAAGGGGTAGCCTTGTTATTCAGGGGCTACTGGGGAGCCTAGCAACAGTGCATATGCGCAAAACCGTATGCATGCGTGCATATGAGTGGTGCACCCGTGCCCGCGTCTAAGTGAGATGTAAGTGTTCTTGCATCATGGTTGGGTTCAAAGGGTGGGACAAGTGCAGACTCGTCGAGACGTCAGTGCTTCAGTGGCAAACCTTGGAGGATGTCTTGACAAGGACAGCTGCAATACCGGCATTGCGAGCAGGTTGAGTAGTAGCACAAGCATCAACAGTGGTCGTGCAATGCTAAGGCATGTTATGGCTAGTAGCAGCTAGCCTTGCTAGAACTGCGAGATCAAGCAACTAATGCATAGAAGCGACTCTCATCGTTTGCCAAGGAGCTTGCTACGTTGTACATACGCAGATCTACATACCTACACAGTCACAGATACATATACAGAACATGCGTGTATGCATATATGTATATACAAACCTGCAAAACTACAAGTCTACATACATGCAAGCTACAAAAACGTACAAAGCTGCCTATACATATGTGCAGTGACGGCGATGCTTAAGAAACTGTTCTTTTTCGATCAGTACCCTCGGTTTCTCTTTTTGAAGCACACTTTTCTTGACGATATTTCCAGGCTTGAGGGTGTGCGGGATGTCTTAACGCAGACTTCTCAGTTTGAAAGGGATCTAACATCGGCAAAATTGATCCCCTCAATTTTCTTACACTTAGGAAATCAAGCTCTTCAATTCCTTGAGTTAGTGTTTTTCGGTTTCTTATGGCATGCTCTTCCTCGTCGAATAATAAATCTTGATTAAGCCATGATGGAGCCTATGGTGCCCTTACGAAGGGCTCTCAAGCCGCTCAACCGTTAAAAGGCACACACGGAAACCACCGAAATTGAGAATTTGAGCCCCGCGGTTTCAAGCTTGAGAAATACATGCACATGACTGCATCAAGACATCTACAGATCCACATATCTACATCTGGACATCTACCAATATGCTACATAGGTGCATGTCTACATACACGAATACCTATAATTACATGTATACCAGCACTTTACACGGGGGACACCATTGTTGGAGGAACCAATCAAGGAGCTTGCCGTAGACGGCGTGGGGATGAGGTCTGAGCTTTAAGTGCAGGGTTGGGGGGGGGGGGGNNGGGGGGTTCTACTACCAAGCAGGTAACAAACAGTTGCGACCTTGCCTACAGACGGGGCTGACGACCCCAAAGTCTCGGGCGGGGTGTGCCAATGGCGCTGAACTCTTGAGACTCATCGCTTGGTTTTCGATTCATCTCGTCAGAGCTGCTTAAAGGCTACGCTCGACGGAGAAGTGGCCGAGACCCAGAGGCCAAGGGCAGAGTACATCCCTAGCTTTGTCGGCTACTCTAAATGGTGGGATTAAGGTTGTGCCAGGATTCAGGGTCATTGCGGCTCAGAACGACCGGTAGGAATTGGATCTTTGCTCTTGGGTGTCAAATTCTAAGATGGGCAATCCAACTTCGGCTGTTGTGCAAGCAATGTGGTCGCCAGGATGGCCAGGCGAGGGTCACTGGTTTTTCATCCAAATGATACCTGAGCCGATGGCAAATGGCTCTTACCTCAAAGCTTGAGGTCTTCACCGCACATGCCGCCTGACAGAATTTACTTGAGACTGCATGTCTGCAACACAAGGTTCGATGTCTAGACAGCCTAGCCTCCCACAGGAGGCTGAGGCAGGCAGCCAGAAGTCAATGAGGTGTTCGTGTTGCGTAGTGCTGCGCAGGCGACGAAGCCCCAGACGCCACAGTTATCAACGGTGTCCTCAACAGGTGCGTCGAGAATCGTTTAATATGCAGGAGCAGCATGCACTCCACCGCTGAACCCAGCAGCACCGCTAAGCACCGTTGTATGGGCCAACTTGTAGGATCGTGAGAAGAGTCGGGGCGACGATATGAGTTTGAGAAGACTGGACAGCTTGGCAGGGGCCACCGAAAGCCGTCAACTTGCTGGAGGCAAGATGCAGACTGGCATCGCTATTCTGGAGCCATGACTTGCAAAGGCACAAGCGTCGGCACAAGACCGTGAATGCCTTGGCTTCCTGATGGCAGTTGTTGCTCCGCTGGAACTTTCCTCATCATTCCCCAAGGCCCACTTCGCCTTTTCAGGATGTCCGCTTGGTCCGGCTCCGAGTATCTGCAGGTGAAAAGAGTAGACCTTCTCGCAAGATCGTCCTCTGTTCACTGTGCTGTTGAGGTGCGGCTCGTAGGACAAGGGTCCTTTGGTGCCGCCACCTTCTAAGAAACTTTGTCTCACGAGTCTGGCAGGAGCGATTCCGTGCAACTGCTTCATGCCGTGCCCAGGTTTACTTTTCGCTCTGGAGCGGTGCAGCTGTCGCAGTCTCGTTCTCGGCATCGAGACATTGAGCCACGCTCGTATGCAGTGCTGGAAGGGACAGGATAGCTCGAAAACAAGATACGTTGATTCATGCTCAGAACACAAAGCGTAGCGCCACGGGACAAGCCCCGCACGCCGGAAGACATTGAGCTGTCTCAGTCTCACTTGTGATCTCTCATGTTGAAGCTCTACTCGTGCAATTCAGCAGCCAAGATTGCTGGGATAATCCCTTTCAAGTTCGGTCTCCTTTCCTGCTGTTCAGGGTGTTCAGCTGCGTTAGGATGGATTTTCCTCTGCTGAGGTAAAAATCATCAAGACGGTCATACCGGCTGGCAAGGATGTGGCGGAATTCGACAAGAACCCGCACTACGAGGTGCAAAAGAACGTTCAAATAGATCTCGGGTGGGTATGAAGACTTCCGGAATCCGGACTTGTCTTGAAAGGCAGCCCTGTCTGTGTCCATCTCGCATCCCAATCTGGTTGCTGGCTCGGGGAGGTCGCTGATTCTTTGCGCACGGGTAATATCTTCACAGGCGACCGAGTTAGTAGCTGGTCTGTGCCCAACCAACGATACCTTGAGCTGCAGTTCACCGCAATTTCGTTTCATACACAAGTCTTCTAATCTGGAGTCTAGGCCCTCTGACGTGTGATTTGTGCCTATGTCTGCCTTTACTACTTGCTGTACGCAGACTTTCCAAGCTCCTGAACGGTTGTCAATCGCCGCATTTCTGAATCGCGGCGGCTGAAGTTCACAGTGTTTTATCTAGTGCTCGTTCCATGGCTGTCATGGTAGTTGGACACCTCTGAGGTTCAGACCTTCAAGCACGGAGGCAGAATAAATTCTTTGAGTACAAATGGCGGAGCTGAGGCCAGAGGGAAGTGCTGAAGAGTGGCACGTGGCACTATCCCCTAAACCATTTTAGAGTCTTCGCAGCTCGTTCAGGCAAAGGAACTCGGCAATGTCCACGAAACTTGGATCGTTCAGGACCTTTGCCTTGCACGGCTCTCTCGGGCACATGGAACCCAAAACATCAGAACCGGTTGGGAAGGTCAGATGTTCAACAAAAGCTGGGACCCAGTTGGAATCAAGAGTCGGGCTGTGCTGGCAATACTTCTGCCAGCAAGCAATTGTTGTGCAGATAATGAGCCTATCTGTCCGAGAATCGTACATCTTGTGCATCTTGTCCTAGGCGTCGCAAGTTCAGCATGAAAGCTGTGACGACATCGATGTCCAGCATCTGCAACAGGCTACAATGTGCAGCCGCTACATCCCTTGGATATAACGTGGTTGTTTGCACGGCCAAACTCCAAAGTAGCGAAAGGCCACTCAAGATTCTTCGGAGAGGTTTTAGACGGAGTGTTCGGGATTCTGGCCATTTAATATTGGTAGCAGATACCAGCATACGGCTTTTGCTAGAATACTTGGACTCTCATGCGCAGGAGTGGTGTGACGGCGGTACTTTAAGCGAGAGCCCTCAGTCGGAGCAGCCGATGGTGTTGGCCTAGCAGTGCGCGGTTCCATGCCTGCGTTGGCGCAGGGGCCGCTTGCCAAAGCCCAAAGCTTCAAGATCAGGCTTCCGTGTCCCATGCCCTCACAGAATCACCCCTGAATCCTTGTAGTTCTGGATCTTGAGAGCCCTGACCGCCAGGGCCTGCTAGAAGCTCTGGAGATTTGTATGGAGATCTCACGAGTGCGGCGCCCAAGCTTCCAAGATGCGCACATCTCACCAACAACGTCTTCAGTTCAACTAGACAGGATTGGTGCATTGTGTGCGTGCTTGCGCATCGTGCCAGATGCCAGGCTGGGCAGTACTTGCATGACATCGGCATCATTCACGGGGATCTGAGCGGCAACAATGTCCTGCTCAAGACCAAACCTCAGTACTCAGGCGGAACAGGTCCTGAGGTGCAAAGCAAGAAACGTGAGATTCAGGACATCGTCTCATGGTCAGGTCCATGCCCAGTGGTAGACTTGCTCGCTAAGGTCCATGCCTGTTCCCAAGGGCTACGTTTGCAAGGTGCATTCCTGTCGCACGCGAGTGGCAGGTTGTCCAGCCTTGTGCTCCTTTTCGTGCGTGCCTAGATTCCTAGTTGACTTGTCATCTTTATACTCAAGCTTAAGTAGCCGAAAATCTTACAGATCCAGGGTCGAAGCTCCTGAGTTGGAAAGGTTTGCGATTTCGGCCTCGCACGGGTACTGGATGGCGAGTCCAAGGCAGCTTCCGGGCACTTTATACTTTATATATATATATGGTATATATATATATATGATATATATATATATGTGATATGATATACATATATGATATATATATATATATATGATATACATGATATATATATATATATATTAACTTTTCGGAGCCAGTCTGGCATCAGGTGTCCATCACGTGGAGGAAGGGGACCTACCTCAGCGCTCAGGGAGTTGAATGGCTTACAGAAAGATATACACTCTAATAGGATCATCCGCCCAGATAATCCCGCGCCGAGATTCTCAGATCAAGTCCCGGAAACTTGCAGACTTTTCAGAGCAGCAGTATCAATCACTGCCATCTTTGTCGGACAGGAAATTATAACCAAGACCTTGGGGACCGTGACCCACATGCCGCCGAAGCCCCAGATCATTAGAAACCGCAAGCACCTCATGGTGACACGATATCATGTAGCCAACTTGTTGCGAGAGATATCCTGCCACTTTTGTCTTACCGGGACCGGCTACTGCTACTGATCCTGCTGGTACTGCTGCTGCTACTACTCCTACTGCTACTGCTGCTACTACTACTACTACTACCACTACTACTACTACTACTACTACTACTACTACTCCTGCTGCTGCTACTGCTACTGGTACTGGTACTGGTACTTGTATTGTTACCAGTAATAGTAGTAGAACTAGTACTAGTAGTAGAACAGTGTGGTCGAGTCTACTACTACTACTACTACTACCACCACCACTACTACCACCACCACCGCCACTACCACGACCACCGCGCTACCGTTGAAGCCGCTGCTGCTGATGCTGCTGCTGCTCCTACTGGTACTACTATGTACACAACTATGTATGCAGCACCACCCACTGCAGCTGCCGCATCACTGGGCCTTCGCAAGTTCTGATGCATAGATCTCCTTGCATCTCTGCTCCTGATCGTTGAGCCCCGTGGTGTTCTGCGAGCAGGTCTTCACGGAGTAGTTCACAGCGTTGAAATAGCCTGGAGTTTAGCTCTTCGTCATGAAGACCCATGAGCACACCGATGCACTAGCCCGAAATGCCTTGAGCCCCTGTTCCCTGGATCCTGCATCGCCAGAGATATGCTAGACCTGAGAATTCTCGAAGTGGCTGACTTGACCGTCTTCCAGAACAAAGTCCAAGAAGTTGTAACTTCCAAAGTCCTGGGAGACGAAGATGCTGCGAGGATTTATGGTGATAGGTTTCGTTGTACCTAAACAGAACACATTGAACACCCACTCTCAAGAAACGGTCTTGAACTGCAGCATCGAGACTATGTATGGAATCGCATCCTCTTGCGCCAGGATGAACAACAAGCTGTTTGCCATCAGCTGCGCATTCGAGGTGCCCATAACCACAACCCAAGATCAACCCAGGCATCCGTCAATGCTTTCGGGCTCAAAGACGGCGTAGCGGCACTTGCCACTGTCAGTGTACATCTCTAGGTTGCCTGTCGAATGCAGCTTTCCACGTGTTGGAGGCACCGGCGCTAGGGCATTGCAGGGCTCGTTCCCTTGCATGGGCAGCTCCACTCGAGGCAACGCGCTAACCGCAACGGCCTTGCCCTGATCTCGCGGAACATAAGCCTCGGCGTATGCAGAGCCATCTTTGACCTGAGTTGTTCACTCCTGTCTGGGCTAATTGCGCAGTGAACCGCAAACACTTAAAGCTTTATAGTCTATAGTCTTTATAGATGTGCTGAAGATGTAGGATGATGTGCAGACAAAGTCTTCTGATAGCTGCTCGGGCACGCCGATCAAGGCGTAGGAATCCCTGAACTGCAGTCTGCCGATCTGCTGGCCGCCACATGCTTGGATCAAAGCCCGACCACGGTCCGTCAGTCCTGAGGAAGCTTCGTCTGAGACGCCAACAAGGACCGTTGTGTTGCTTGCCAAACTCTGCAGAAAGATTTCGACCTCGGCGGAATCCTGATTTGTGTCGAAAGTCTTTGGCGCCCCGACGACTTCGCCGTCTACGGCGAGTACCAGAATCGTGAGACCACGTGCGCTCGATGAATGAAGTTGCTTCCCATTCAGCCAGAAGGACACCTCATTGCCATCAGAGAAGCCAGCGCTCTGAACAACCACATCCATAAGGTCAGCAGAGCCGTCGACACAGCACTCTTCTGCGCTTGAGGCGATGAGCTCCAGCGCTTCGGGCCGATGAAGCATCCAGCTCGGACATGTAAAGAGCTTGCAAGGAGGAATCTCGTCACATGGCTCGCAAGCACTGAAGCAGGTGTGGTAATCCATGCTGCTCGCACCTTCCGGGATCGAGATGTAGCGGTTGAAGTGCCCAGATTGCTGCTCGCTGCAGCCGAAAGGCACCTCTTCGGCATTCTCCCAGGTGTTGCTGTTGATGAACTTGAACTCATGGAAGCCTGCACTCAAGTTTAGCATCACCTGGTAGACACCATTGCCCTCCAGGTCGAGCAACCTTGCTTGAAGAGTTCGAAAAAGGATGTACTCAAGGCCTATGAATGCCTCACATCTCTGTCTGAGCTGTCGCGACTGCAAATCAGCCAAGGATCCGGGTGGCGTTCGCTTCCCAGCCTTGGAAGCTGCCCGCCACGTAGACACCAGCACTGGACGTTGCCTGGGGACTCGGGGACACTCAGCACCCTGTCTGACCCTTCATGTCCCCACCTGCTAAGCCGCAGTCTCAAAAAAGGCTAAGGCAACCGGAAACACGATTTAGATCTCTCATTCGCCTCCCTGGCCATGCCCACACGAAGCGTCACGGGAACCTCGGCCAGAGCTCCAAGCAGGGCTCCGAAGAGGCAGAAGACAGTGAAAGCCATGGCTCCAACGTCTGCCAATGCTCAGAGCCCGTGTTGGCTGAGGACCAGCCGAAGGTGCAGCCGGCAAAGTGCTAGGTTTAAGGGGCGAAATGCATGACTTACATGGCGGCAACCCTACAAATATTATGCATCTATCGGAAAGTGGTGTATTTGACAGTCAGGTATTGGCGGAGCACCATTTTCCGGCATATGCCGGTGGTACTGGGGATGTGGAGTTGACCCCGGCCATCCTCGTCAATCCACCTTGAGAACTATACAACACGCAGCAATCCACCTCTGAATCCTATTTCAAAGAGGTTGTACGTTGCGCTGGCTCCGACTGTCATGCTTACGGTGATTTTTGAATACGCGGATTTTAAAGTAAGCGGATCCCCCCCTCCACCCCTCCGCCCGCTCCTCCACCTCCCACCATGTAAGTCGTGGCACTGGCACTTGGCTTGTGTGAAAATTGTGGAGTGGATGGGCGGCTGGAGGGTGGAGGGTTGGAGGCTGGTGAAGGGTGGAGAGATGAGGAGTGTAGGGATGGGCATTGCCATCTCACTGGCCGCCGTGTACGCAAGCTTCGTATCTGGACCCTAGTACAACTTTCTTGCTTGCCCGAACAAGTGAAGCTGGAGCGAGAAAAGGCTACAGCAGAGCTACCCGGCCCATACTTGTTAGATTTTGCTAGCATGCTTCTCGCAGACTCCATAAATCAAAGCAGGCATTGTCTCGACGGCTCCATGTACCGAAACTTGTGCATGTCACTGTTGTGAACTATGCTGTGTGATGCTGTGTGTATTTGCATATAGATCGGGTGCTCGATTGACGATGTATGAGCACACGCAGCCGAAGGTTTAGATGAGGGGTGGAGGAGGGGTGTGGAAGGGGTGTGGCAGGTGAGGCGTTGGGGTTACTGCCTCTGGCTCTGGGGGCTTGACCGCTCGCCCTCCACAAATTTAAACTGCACCGTGTAATTTTGGGGTAGGACGGAGGGCAGGAGTTTGATTGGCGACTGATGTGGCTTTGACTAGGACTAGGTGCTGGTAGCTGTAGTGAGTAGCGATAGTGGGAGCAATTGCTCGTGTTGAAAACCATGCTGACAACATGTCAAGACGTTGCATTTATGGTAGAATGGTCTCCACAGGCACCATCATCATCATCATCAGAAGGAGCACCAGCATCTTGATTCTGCCCCTTCGCTATCATGGCAACGTCACCATATCACCATACCAGCGATGAACATGGCATACAGTGGCATTTGCTACCGACGCTCATCGCCTGTGGGGGCTGCACGGCAGCTCTCGTTCAAACCTGCGGCAGCCGCGGACGGATGGCCAGCGAGGCAGGCAGACAGCCTGACAGGCAGGCAGGCACATACATGATGTGCGTGTGAACGTGCTCACGTGCTTAAACAAAGGTGCCAGAAGAGCTTTTGTTTGTACAGGTCTAGCTTCTTTTCCATTTGTCTACACATGTTCGCACATCTGTAACCATGCATGTAATACACAAAAGCAAGTTCCTGTGTGTGGTTGCTCCGCTTGTGTATTGGGTTGGTCTGCTTGCATGCTTGCATGCATGCACCGGGCAATGTGTGAGCACATAAGTGCCTGCATGCATGCATGGCTAGAACTATGCCATGCATTCTTGCTTGCATGAACCCATCCATCTACGTACACATGCATGCACTCCTGCATGTGCAACTGCCTACATACGTACGTGTTGCAAACGTTACAGACATGTATGCCTCTTTCATTGTACATTGCATGTGCCCACATGTGAAGGTGTACGGTCATGTAAATACGCAAACATTTGTCCACGCAGATATACGCAGCTTTCAGAAAATGCTCTTCCTACTCCCCGAGTTCTCCTGCAAGTCCACTGGTCCCCCTCCTGTCCGTCCATCTGGCTGCATTTTCTCTGCTCGCCCGCTTCAGTGTTCCTGTTTTCGGCCCTTGTTTATGCCAGTCGGCTTGCTGCTAACGGCCTGTGCTGGCAGTCGACAGACCTGAACCCAGCCCTCCGATGCCGAACAGGTCTGACAACTCAGGGTCTCAGCACTCATGCTGCCGCTATATAATACTTCCTTCAGCGCCTTCATGTTCCAAGCCTGAACGGCTGCAACGGACCATGCAAACAAAGGCACATATCAAATCTATCTACTTCGAATCTTGTTCTCTAGTTTCCCTGCTGTGAAAGCGGTGTTTTGCGGACACAGCAACATCTCTGCAACTCTGCGTCGGCGCGATGTAGGCCTAATCTGGTTGATGATGTGTGCTGGCTTGGCTAGCAGCAGGGGCATGGATCCGAGTTAATTAGGGTAACTGAGTCTGAGAAAACCGGATGGCTGGTTTGCGATGAGGTCAGACCGCGATGCTTCCACTGGCCGAGAACACACACGTCGCAACAAACTACAATTGGCAATGTTTTATGCCTACATCCGACATGGACAGAACTTGCAAGCCTCCTCGGCATTAAGGGATATTAAGGGTCGATGACGCGGCTCGGTACTTTCGAACGACAACGAATTCAACGTAAAATTCATTAAGAGGGCATGTCATCATACTCTGCATTCACGGGCTACTGAACAATCTTGCATTGCTTCGTAGATGAGAATACAACATGATGGCCATCCACGATGATCCACAGGCACCTGTTTTCCAGGCCAGCGCAGTTCCCGCAGTCCTGACAACTGGCGCTTGCCTAGCTGCGATCTCATCTGAGAGCCAGCCACCAGTGGCAGCATTTTGGGGCCGGAAGAAGAAGAAAAGATCTCTTTCGCCGTCCCACCATGATACTTCCCACTAGCCTGTACCTCTTAGTCATCCATCCCGTTCTTATGGCCCGTATGTTGCCCATGTGCAGCACACGACCGGGCAAAACACCCTGCGTTGATGCATTCGCAATCTGCTGCAATTGCCAGCTTTGCACACCGCCGCAAGCATCAGGTGCAACCAAAGTGGTTGCAGTAGGAGTTACTGACCACTATCGCTACAGCTACCGCTGCCGCTACCTTGACCCCTACTGCCTACCGCTACTGCTACTGCTACATCTGATACTGCTACTACGGCTTTTACTCCTACTCCTACGCCTACATCAACAACAACAACTACTACTACTACTACTACTACTACTACTCCTACTCCTACTCCGACTCCGACTCCTACTCCTACTCCTACTCCTACTCCTACTCCTACTCCTACTCCTACGACGACGACGACTACTACTACTACTACGACGACGACGACTACTACTACTG